ATGCGTTTTTGTCGGTAGGCTTGCTCATGACTGCCATATTTGAAACTGCATGAGGAAATAATTTTATTAAAGTAAAGAGCAAATAGTAATTATATGAACACTGAAAATTTCTCTCGGGAACGTTTTCTTTTCTGAGATAACTGTTCATTATACTCCACCATTCACATCTAACAGTGGCATATTTCAGATATTACAAACGTCACAATTCCACCAAGTAAGTAAAAGTGTCCCGTTGGATTAGTTTAAAAGTTGATTTTTAGTGCTTCATTTTACTGATCATCGAATCACAGCATAGCGAAATTGATTCAATTTATTAGTGCAGACGTCGACGAAATTTCGAATTTCATCAACTTGATTTCGAATGAATTTCATTTGAAGCATTTTTAGTCAGTGACTGTCAAAAAAACAATGCTTTGATTAGATCAAAAGGTGGGAATGGGTATGTCTAAAATTAGTTGCGAAATGAAAGTTCATTCATTTTTGTTGAAAAGAATTTGAAGAAACAATGTTTAATGAATTTATGAAATTACTCTCAGCTGTAGTACCATCGACAACCGCTGTACCGATTGCGACGACCACTCCATCGTCTAATATCAGTAATTTTTTATGTCGTTCTTTTCCGAATTCATTATCAAAAATTTATTATATTTGTACTTCAACTGAACAGCATTCGTATAATAATATCATAAAACGACTGCTTTCTTGGCCATCGTATCACGAAACGACTCATTTTATGCACATGAAACATAGCTCTGTTTCGACGGCGTGACTCAGTTTGGCTTGCTTCTTTCATCCCATTCCAACAAATTAATTGTTTCCGATCCGCTGCAATTAGATTACGCCGTAGTAATATTGTTCAATTACTTAATTACGAATTATGTTTATGAAATGAGTCACCGTTTGTTTATGCCGTTTTATGACTACCCGTTGTTATGGAGATTTCTAAATGAAATTAAAAGCTCACACCCACAATGTTTAGTAATCCCATCAGAGTAGCGTAACCATTTCATTGTCATCCGACGTAACTCCTTGGAAATGGCCGGTATTTTGCCACAGCTGTTAGGTTTGGAAACTTTTGCCTTTTAGACAAACACACCATTAGATCCAATTCTAAATTTCGATTAAAAAAGCACAGATTCTGGTGGAAAAAAAATGGGTTCAACCCCGTTCACCTCATTCAGGATTCACTTTTCAGTGCATTCTGCTCGGATGGAGTTGAATCACTTCGCTATCTGCCATTTCTTCGGCAGATAGCGAAGTTTTTGCCTCAGTGCCTCAAACTCCGTTTCGTTTCAAGCACTCAAATATCAAAAGTTTTGAGTGCAGATGCTTAGCGCTTAGAGCACGATGGTTGAATTCTCACCAATACCATATTTCTAAAGATTTCTGAATGAAAATTTGGTCGTTGTAGGCGAATGCACAGAATGTTCAACGCCTCTCTATGGAACTGTCACCACACCAGGATTCGAGAGCGGAATACTGTTCACCAATCGTGACACGAATGCGAATGGTTGTTCACAGATCAGGATTACTTGTACCAATCCTGTCGTAAGTCATATATTTTGTTCGAGAGTCGATCCTCATTTTTCCGGTGACCCTAACGATGCACAAGGCCACAAGCTCTTCAAAGGATCATCTTCAAAACCGATTTTGACCGATTACGAGAGTACAGCGAGTGGAAATTCATGCGATCATCAAACTAACGTTATCATGGATCCAAATCATTCTCGATATTATGGAGACAATTGAATTAGACGAAAGGATTTTAAATCCGCATGCATGTTGTCTATCGATCCACTGAAACAGAATAATCTGCTCATTCAATGAGATGGCGACCTTTCAGCCTTCCCTAACGGCAATGATTATGGTACTGGGAACGACAAAGGTGTTGGCCTTNGGAAGAGGTTCGGTGGATTCAACGATCACTTGCGATCGCCAGCGAACCTGGCTGGACCCTAGCGGAGTCGCTGTTCCCGGAATCATCTGTGCCGCTCATGGTTCGATTCTCATTGCCTCTTCATAACTACCAAACAACAAACCGATATTTATAGTGTTACAATGCGAATCATTGAATTATTTCCAGTAGCAATGATTTTTGAAGCGCAAGATTCATGCTAAACGTGATTGTTGAATTGGTTGCGACTCTGACAATGAGGACAATCATTAATCCATTTTTCCGATTCTGAATTCTAGATTCATCATACTTTCAAAATTGCCCGTGTACTTATTAAGCAAAATTTTAAAATTTTAAAATTTAAACATTTTCTCTTCAATTTTTGAATTCATCTTTCAGAACCACCCAAACCAACAACAACAGCTGCTCCTCTCATAACGGTAAATGTTCTTGTCCGCAAAATACTTAACATGGAATTTTCTTTCATTCCTATGAGATATATTTCCAAGCATATTTCTCGCACGACTACTGATCTAAACACCATGGTTCTTCTCATCAAAAACTCATATTTTCAATAAGATTGCTGTCGATCCAATTGTAAAGTTCTGTTCTCAGTTGAAAACTCTCGCTCGAAATTTGGCCGTACTGCCTTGAGAAAAGTCATCTGAGTTGTTTTAAATTCGTTAACTGATCAACTGATTGAAGAGGATATGATGACTTCGGAATTTGAGCGCTCAAAGCTCATCAATTCTCTTGCATTAAAAGGCTGATTTCAGACTACACGTCCACTCTGTCACGGAACAGCATGGAATGCCTGGGGTCAATGGTCCCAGTG